GGGGATAGGAGAAATAATGACATTGTGATATTCCCGATGATATTATTAAAGAAATAAAAATGGTAATCTAGTGGTTAAAAATGTGTCCCTCTGATCTTGACCCTCTCTATATATGTGTGTGTGTGTATATGCATCTCTCTTTGAGTAAACACAGTCATGTGAAGCAAAGACAACACGTAGCAAAGAGTTGAGAGGAAAATCTAAGCATAAAAATCAATTTAACAAGGTAGAGATAGATGCTAGATATAATACAATAAATTGCGGGAAAAACAACTGGCCAACCCAATGATGTGGATGCATATTCCATGAGTTTTAAACAACAAAAAAAAAAGAGAGCTTTATGAATTTTGATGCGCAAACAAGAAAAGTGCTGCTTACCAGGGTAAAGTATCCCTGTTTTTCAGCTTTCATTTTCCTGGCATATGTAGTTCGTTAGCTTTGACACAGTAGATCAAGGCAAAATCTAGAGTGAGGATACAAGTGCCTCTTAATACAACTTACCAGGCAAGCATCAATATCCTTACATCAGTATGGTCAACTTCCACGTCTGAACACAGACGTTCAATTCCCTCTGGACTGTTCAAAAAAGTGAGTAATAACTTATATGTTATACGAGTACATCATTTTTGCCAAACAAAAAGTGTACACAAATTTAAAATGTTTATATTCTCCCATGAGAAAATTAAATAAGGTGGAGTTTCTACTATAATTATCATATCAAAGGATAATGACTCAATGCCTAAATATGAAACAATACTCCTTTTCTTTTCCCTTTTAGCAAGAAAAATGCGATGATTTGTAGGAGAGTTCTGTTTGGTATTTGAGATGTGCAATGTCAAACAGAGCAATAAACAGGTTAGAGTCCTTAAAAAGAATTTAATTTCCTTCGTGTAATGTTTGAGTGAAATTACCATAAATCAACTTTTTTTAGTGCAGAAGGTTTTTATGGACAATGGAGAATTGTTCATTGAACAGAAACCCTTTCTATTTAATCGTGCTTATAAGTTGTCACCGTGTGGTGAAGAGCCAACAATGATCTTGAATTAATTCAAAAGAAGGGTGAACCAACCATACATTTTCTTTTATTTCCAAAAAGAGGTCCCACATTTATGAGATGACAGCTGTTCACGTTGGATTTGGTCCTTCTTTAATGGAGGAGGTTTTCTTTCGAATAACTTGATTCAGGTTTCCTTGTAAAATTTGGTTTATCAGTTTTTGTAAGTTTTGATTATTCCAACTGGACTTGTGTGATGTGTCCTAGTAGAATTATGAATTTATCAGAGAGCCTAAAAATTCAACTGAAGGGTGGATTTTTGTAACACAGAAGGGAGTTAAGTGTGAGAGCCAAAAGGTTTGAAAGTGAGAGCCAAATGGTTTGAGAGAGATTTTCATGAGTTTGAGAGAGGGTGTGCAAGGGGTGTATCCTATTGGATACGAGCTCAGGTTTGGGAATTGAGTGGTTATTCTTGTACCCTTTTTTTTCCTCATATATAGTGAAGGTGAAAACTCAACATGGACGTAAAAAGAACTTTTGCAACTAAATATGTGACAAGAAGGCAAGTAACATCTTGATAACCTAAAAGAATTGCTGAATCAATTCTGTCATTGAGCATGTTCAACACGTACATTCACAAAATACAACCTTTTCACCTGTTACAACAAAAGCAATGACTAAAGCCACAAATTTGAACGCATGTTCAACTCATACATTCACAAAAGACAACCTTTTCACCTGTTGCAACAAAAGCAATGACTAAAGCCACAAATTCAAACAAGTATTCTCATGCAGTAGACTTACTCAATCAAACCAGAAGACGCATTTGCATATGTATTGAAAAACGCATCAACCCGTTCCAACTGTTTATTAGCTGCTTTAATGGCTGAAAAGGTAAAGATTAAAATAGTTATGACCAGAGACAATACGGAATGCTAACTTAACAAAAATTAGTAATCAATATTCAAACAGGTGAGTATCTACAGCATCAGAAGAACACATTCTACAACTATTAATGTCTGCAGTAAACCAATATGAAAACCAAATAGCCTCAAACCAGAAATATGTTTCAACTTAAAGCAAGGTTCACTAAGTAATGTGTGCTTCCTGGAAGTATCTAACAACTTGATTAGGATATAATTACAGAACTCGTGAGAGACAGCCAGAATAGACCCAGCTGAGTGAGAATGCTGGGTTCTCTTCCCTTATAAACACCCATAAGTGGGGATATGGATAATGCTAAAGGGGGAGTGCTCTGCTGGTCAATAACACAAAGCATAGAACCATACAATATGATCATAAGCTACCTGGGAATATATGTCTTAGTTGACAAAACAGGAGAAGATGTTTTGTCCTGCCATAGAAAAACTGAAGCTTCCTAACTCAGAGACTCTAAAGCGGCAGCACAATCTCTTTGATTAGAGAATGAACAAAGGCTAAAGAACTGGGATCTGACTGCCCCTCGAGAGAGAATGAAGATGTGCTTCAATTATATGGGGAATTTGAAAATATTATGAATTCACTAGCAAATCCCATGGAAATGAGAATAAAGCTTAAATTGTAGATTCTCCAAAGCAGAAGTCAGTTAAACAAGTTTATGCTAGAGGTATCAATCATCCTCCTTGTTGTCCTAAAAAAATAAGATGGATTCAAGCCTAAAGATGGATCAAACCCATCTAAAATGCAATCTTTTGTTGATATACAAGAATATGTCCAGCATCTCCTGAAACTCAACAGTCAACACAAATTCGTAAACCAAATGCTTCTGCACAATGCGATATAGACAATCAGTTGTACCCTTAATTGGTAATGTTTCTGTTTTCCTTTTTAACTAAAGGAATGCAAAAAGGGGTGATGTGAAAAAGAAGAGAGTTGAGAGGTGTGTGTGTGTGTGAAAGAGAGAGAGAGAGAGAACAGGAAGGAAGCGTGGAATGGTTTCAAGATAAAAACCAAAGACAAAAACTAGAATAATTTTAAGCAGTTTCCAATTGTATCTATCTATCTCATTTATTTCCTCTTTCTCCCATCTTTAATTTTAAAAACCAAAAATATAATCAAATGGCCTTACACAGTTCAATCATGAGAATTTCTGGTTCAATAGCTCATTCTTTTCAACAATTCAAACCTTTTCAACCTTTCATGCAAATACAACATTCCATTACTCCTAATCATTCAACTACACCACTCTCCGGCTTTCGATTTCAACAAAAATTCAACCTTTCTTATCTTCATTTATTAGTATTCCTGAAATTTAAAATTATTGTTCTGTTCCCGAGCTAAAGCAACTCAATTCAAAGCATGAAGCTCAAATTGAACCGGATCCATACTCCCAACACTCATCAATTTCCATGATCATATATAAAAGTCGCAGAATTGAATAAAATTTAAAAGCTTTGAACATAAAACAAAGGAATCAATACTAATTACAACAAAACCAATCATCAAACTATCAAAAACAAAAAATTGAAGGATAATTGAGCAGAATTGACAAAGAAAAAGGAAGATCCGAATACGAACCAGAGCGCCTCATCTTCTTCACAAAATAGACACGGAGATATAAACACAGAGAGAGTCAAGAGCAAGCGAGTGCAGAAGCCTCGTCGCTCGAGAGCTCTGTTTTCGATGTCAGAGAGAGAAATTGATAGAGAAAGAGATGGATTGACAGGCTCTTATATTTGAGGTTCTCTCTGTAGCCTCTATTTTTGGTTTTTTCCGAGTATGAAGAGGAGAAGACGATGACGTGGCGTTTGTAGATTGGGTAAAAACATTTACTATTTTGGTGGGCGGTGTACGATAAAAAGAAAGAAAAAGGAAATTAAATTGCTGGCTGGCTGTCTTGCTTTCAGAAATGTCATGTTTACGGTTTACCTATGGAATTGGGAGAGTTATGAATCGGGAAAGTCGTTATAGAATCAACTACTACCTTCGATTAATTACCATCTTGATTTTCAGATATTGGATAAAGGATATAATTGTGGAACTCACATAATATTTTAATTCTTGATGTATAAATGCATGGTAAATTAAGAATTGGAATCATTTCAATAATATTTTCATTTTACTAGATAAACAAGGCTCTACAAAATGGGTTGTCTGACCTTCCGCCCAATTGAATCTATGTCCACAAATATCCGGTTGGATCATTATGGAGAGTAAATCTCATATCGGGGAATTAAAGCTTTGCATATCAATTTAATTGATATCGGGCATCTCCGCTCAATGCCAATTAGTTTTGCATTGGACGCTCGTATTCTAATATGGTATTAGAGCAAGTTATTCACATGTTAGGTACAATGGTCACACGTGATGTCACTTTGCTCATTAATGGTCCATGTGTTTGGTTTGAGTGACAACACAAGTGAAGGGGCGTGTTGAGAGCAAACCCACATCGATAAATTAAAGATTCGTCTAATAGTTTAAATGATATTGAGCATCTTCACCCATTCCCAATTGATTTTAGGTTGGATGTTCACATTCTTATAGTCCAGGGACTGAGCCATGTAGGGACCAAAGTGGTCCTAGGCCCCCTCAATGTTTTTACTCCTTGTATTTATATATTATAAATGATATATAATATTATAATATATTAGATTATTTTTGGGGAAATTTACTCTAAAATAAATAATATATTAAGGTTTTTTTTTGTCTACATTTTAACTATAAAACTTCTTAATCACTCTTCTATTTCCCCTTAAATCTTCTAGGTTAGGTTCTAATACTTGCACTAAAAACTCCTAAAAAAAATTCTTCTCTTTCTCTTTATTGAAGATATGGAAAGATTACAAAATATATTGTACATTATTTGTTACCTTGTATAGGAATAGTCAACTTCTCTGTTAAGGCTTGTACAAATTAGTGCCTTTAACTTAGGATTTAAATTACCTTCCTTAGGTAGTCTTATTGGCTTTATATATTGGCCTTCTTCTGTATTGCAAACACACAAATATACGAGATATTATTTTACATGGTATCAGAGCCTACAATGGTCTCTGTTAAAACCCTAAACCTCCTTTCAAGCCTCTCTTCACCCTACAATCACTATATCTCTTGACCAGTCAGTCATGGCTGCTAATCAATCATCATCTCAGAAGCCTTTTTATCATTGCAATTTTTGCAAACTTGATGGTCACTCTCAATCATGCTTGTGGGAGCAAATTTCCTCCCACGAGAATATTCGCCTAAAGATTCCTTCGTCTTCTTCGCACCTCTCTCTCCCTGCAAAACAGATCGGAGTAAAAGGACCACACCCGGGGGGTGTTGGCCAAAGGCCCTCCAATGCCTAAGTTAGGATGGGTGTTTCAAGGAAAACCGGGTGGCTGGAGCCGTGTGTGGAGGCCGGAGCCTTGTGTGAGAGAGAGAGAAAGAAGATGGTGGCTAGGGTTTGTGAAGGGTAATTTCTGCAGAGTTTCAGTATGAATTTAGACGTACCTGACCCTTGTGTGTAGCTAGGTATTTATAGGAGCCTCGGAGGCTAGGGTTTCAGAGGAATAATTCCGTAGATGGAAAGGAATTATTCCTCCCTGATTAGGCGAGATTTGATTAATTAGGGATTTGATTTTGTTGGGCTGTCCAGCTGTAACTGGGCTTCCTTCTTGGATTTGGGCTCCTGAGTTGAGGAGGTATTTGACTTGCCAATTGGACTTTGGCTTAGGCAGTCTAGTTGTAGATCTGCCCACGATGAAGTCGCAGTCTCACGATCAAGGAATACGTCTCCACAGCCAAAGCAGCTGAGACCTTCTTTTGCCACGAGCAAATCTTCCTCAAGGAGGGTCTCGTCTGCTGAGAATGTCCTTATGGGAGTTGCTCCTGCCTCGTTTGCTAGGATCAAGCGCATTGTCAGCATCCTGAGTTGAGGAGGTATTTGACTTGCCAATTGGACTTTGGCTTAGGCAGTCTAGTTGTAGATCTGCCCACGATGAAGTCGCAGTCTCACGATCAAGGAATACGTCTCCACAGCCAAAGCAGCTGAGACCTTCTTTTGCCACGAGCAAATCTTCCTCAAGGAGGGTCTCGTCTGCTGAGAATGTCCTTATGGGAGTTGCTCCTGCCTCGTTTGCTAGGATCAAGCGCCTCGTCAGCGTGAATAGTAAGCATGTCAATAGCATACAGGAGGTTCGGGATATTCTGCTCAAGTCTCAGTCGGTGAGAGCTCTGCTGGTCAAGTTTGACACTCATGTTGAAGCCACGGAGACATCCAAGCATGAAATTGCTGCTAATGCATACAAGTTGGGATACTTGGACTGCAGGAACGGTGCTCCTCCTTGTTGCCCTCTCGAACATGAAGATGGTGAGCAGCTTTATCCTGACTTGCCCCCTGCTCAAAGTGAGCAGTTTAATGCTATGGATGTAGAAGCAGTTGAAGGGCAGGTAGCTGATGAAGCTGCAATGCAGGAAGACGACGCCAAAGGTGGCGCGGCTGATGAGATTAGGGCAGATGCGGAGGAGGAGGCAACTGGGGCTGCCGAGCAGATGATGCCGGTTGAGCAGAATCAGGCTCATTTCTTGTTGAGCTTGGCTGGTTGGCAGCTTTGTAATGGAATTTTCAGTTGTCTTTCAAACTTCAATTCTCATTGTATCTTGTAAGTGTATGTCCGGAGACATAGTGCTTGAAAGAGACTCCATTGAGTTTGTACTCAAGAAGTAGCTTGCCTACAATGGAGGTAAGGCTTGTAGCCTGTGTGCGTATGTCGGGGACATAGCGCTTGAAAAAGGATCCATGAAGTTTGTACTCGAGAAGTAGCTTGCCTTCAGTGGAGGTAAGGCTTATCGCT